CCGGCCCCACTGCTCCCTGCCCGGCCGGGGCCCGGCCCCACTGCTCCCTGCCCGGCCGGGGCCCGGCCCCACTGCTCCCTGCCCGGCCGGGGCCCGGCCCCACTGCTCCCTGCCCGGCCGGGGCCCGGCCCCACTGCTCCCTGCCCGGCCGGGGCCCGGCCCCACTGCTCCCTGCCCGGCCACTGCCCCTGCCGGGGGCCCGGCCCACGCCCCTGCCCGGCCGGGGCCGGCCCCACTGCTCCCTGCCCGGCCCCACTGCTCCCTGCCCGGCCGGGGCCCGGCCCCACTGCTCCCTGCCCGGCCCCACTGCTCCCTGCCGGCGGGGCCCGGCCCCACTGCTCCTGCCCGGCCGGGGCCCGGCCCCACTGCTCCCTGCCCGGGGGGCCGGCCCCACGGCTCCCTGCCCGGCCGGGGCCCGGCCCCACGGCTCCCTGCCCGGCCGGGGCCCGGCCCCACGGCTCCCTGCCCGGCCGGGGCCCGGCCCCACGGCTCCCTGCCCGGCCGGGGCCCGGCCCCACGGCTCCCTGCCCGGCCCCACTGCTCCCTGCCCGGCCCCACTGCTCCCTGCCCGGCCCCACGGCTCCCTGCCCGGCCGGGGCCCGGCCCCACGGCTCCCTGCCCGGCCGGGGCCCGGCCCCACGGCTCCCTGCCCGGCCCCACGGCTCCCTGCCCGGCCGGGGCCCGGCCCCACGGCTCCCTGCCCGGCCGGGGCCCGGCCCCACGGCTCCCTGCCCGGCCCCACTGCTCCCTGCCCGGCCGGGGCCCTGCGGCGCGGGTGCCCGGCCCCACTGCTCCCTGCCCGGCCCCACTGCTCCCTGCCCGGCCGGGGCCCGGCCCCACTGCTCCCTGCCCGGCCCCAGCTCCCTGCCCGGCCCCACTGCTCCCTGCCCGGCCGGGGCCCTGCGGCGCGGTCTGTGCCCGGCCCCACTGCTCCCTGCCCGGCCCCACTGCTCCCTGCCCGGCCGGGGCCCGGCCCCACTGCTCCCTGCCCGGCCCCACTGCTCCCTGCCCGGCCCCAGCCTGCCCGGCCCCACTGCTCCCTGCCCGGCCGGGGCCCTGCGGCGCGGTCTGTGCCCGGCCCCACTGCTCCCTGCCCGGCCCCACTGCTCCCTGCCCGGCCGGGGCCCGGCCCCACTGCTCCCTGCCCGGCCCCACTGCTCCCTGCCCGGCCGGGGCCCTGCTGCGGGGTCCGTGCCCGGCCCCACTGCTCCCTGCCCGGCCCCAGCTCCCTGCCCGGCCGGGGCCCTGCTGCGGGGTCCGTGCCCGGCCCCACTGCTCCCTGCCCGGCCCCTGCCCGGCCCCACTGCTCCCTGCCCGGCCCCACTGCTCCCTGCCCGGCCGGGGCCCTGCGGCGCGGTCTGTGCCCGGCCCCACTGCTCCCTGCCCGGCCCCACTGCTCCCTGCCCGGCCGGGCCCTGCTCCCTGCGGCGGGCTCCCTGCCCGGCCCCACTGCTCCCTGCCCGGCCCCACTGCTCCCTGCCCGGCCCCAGCTCCCTGCCGGGGCCCTGCTCCCTGCTGCGGGGTCTGTGCCCGGCCCCACTGCTCCCTGCCCGGCCCCACTGCTCCCTGCCCGGCCGGGGCCCTGCGGCGGGGTCTGTGCCCGGCCCCACTGCTCCCTGCCCGGCCGGGGCCCGGCCCCACTGCTCCCTGCCCGGCCCCTGTTCCCTGCCCAGCCGGGGCCCGGCCCCTGCTCCCTGCCGGGGCCCTGCTCCTGCGGGGTCTGTGCCCGGCCGGGGCCCGGCCCCACTGCTCCCTGCCCGGCCCCTGCTCCCTGCCCGGCCGGGGCCCTGCTGCGGGGTCTGTGCCCGGCCGGGGCCCGGCCCCACTGCTCCCTGCCCGGCCCCTGCTCCCTGCCCGGCCGGGGCCCTGCTGCGGGGTCTGTGCCCGGCCCCTGCTCCCTGCCCGGCCCCACTGCTCCCTGCCCGGCCGGGGCCCTGCTCCCTGCGGCGGGGTCTGTGCCCGGCCCCTGCTCCCTGCCCGGCCGGGGCCCTGCTCCCTGCTGCTGGCCCCATGCCCGGCCCCCCTGCTCCCAGCCCGGCCCCCCTGCTCTGGGGTCTGTGCCTGGCTCCTGCTCCCGGCCTGGCCCTCCTGGCTCCTGCTCCCGGCCTGGCCCACCTGCTCCCGGCCCGGCCCCGGCTGCCTGCTGCCGGGTCTGTGCCCGGCCCCTGCTCCCTGCCCGGCCGGGGCCCTGCTTCCTGCTGCTGGCCCCGTGCCCGGCCCCACTGCTCCCGGCCCGGGCCCTGCTCGGTCCCTGCTCCCTGCCCGGCCCCTGCTCCCTGCTGCTGGCCCCGTGCCCGGCCCCCTTGCTCCCTGCTGCTGGCCCCGTGCCCGGTCCCTGCTCCCTGCTGCTGGCCCCGTGCCCGGTCCCTGCTCCCTGCTGCTGGCCCCGTGCCCGGCCCCTGCTCCCTGCTGCTGGCCCCGTGCCCGGCTCCACTGCTCCCTGCCCGGCCCCACTGCTCCCGGCCCGGCCCCTGCTCTCTGCTGGTGGCCCCATGCCCGGCCCCTGCTCTCTGCTGGTGGCCCCATGCCCGGCCCCTGCTCCCTGCTGGTGGCCCCATGCCCGGCCTCCCTGCCCGGCCCCTGCTCCCTGCTGGTGGCCCCGTGCCCGGCCCCCCGCTCCCTGCCCGTGGCCCCTTGCCCGGCCCCCCTGCTCCCTGCCTGGCCCCTGCTCCCTGCTGGTGGCCCCGTGCCCGGCCCCCCTGCCCGGCCCCTGCTCCCTGCTGGTGGTCCCGTGCCTAGCCCCTGCTCCCTGCTGCTGGCCCCGTGCCCGGCCCCCCTGCTCCCTGCCCGGCCCCCCTGCTCGGTCCCTGCTCCCTGCTGCGGGGTCTGTGCCCGGCCCCTGCTCCGGGCCAGGTCTGCTGGGTTCATGCCCTGCCTGGACTCTATTGCTGGCCCCATGCCCAGCCCTGCGCCATGCCCTGCCTGGCCCTGGATATGCTGGGTCTGTGCACAGACTGGCCCTTGCTGCTGGCCCCGTGGCCAGCCCTGCTCAGTGCCTGGCCATGGCACTGCTGGGTTCAAGTGCCCCGCCTGGCCCTATACCCAGCCCTGCACTCTGCCTATGCTGGGTTCATGCCCTGCCTGGCCCCTGCTGCCTCCTGGCTGTGGCTCTGCTGGGTTCAAGCCGTACCCACGCCTGAGGCTGCTGGGTCTATGCCCTGCCTAGCCATGAGGCTGCTGGTTCCTTACCGAGGCTAGCCCATGCTGCTGGCTGTGTGCCCGGCCCGCTCCATGCCCTCACTGGCCATGGTTCAGCTGGGCCTGTGCTCTAAGTGGCTCCTGCTGCTGAGTCTATTCCCTGCCCGGCCCCGATCTTCGCTCCTCCCTGCTGCTGCTGGGTCGGTGCCCTGCCTCGTGCCTGCTGCTGCTGGGTCGGTGCCCTGCCTCGTGCCTGCTGCTGCTGGAAGGACAGCTCTGTGCTTTGAGCTCAATTTCCACCTCAAGCCCTGGCTGGGGAGGGGTTTTGCCCTCATAGTTATACATGGCTCGAGCCAGGGGGAGTTTACAGGGGCCCCTAAGGGGCCACTTCGGTTTTACTTTTGTGAAACATTTTAAAGGGATATTTTTGTGGAACGTTTTAGGGGCCTGTGCAGGTAGCAGCAGGCTCCAACATAGGGCAGCCATTTTCTACAGCACCAGATAGCCCACACCTTACTGGGTTTAAACCTTCCCGAGGAAGGTGTAGTTTCCAAAATAAACTTTACAGTTGTTTCCCCCACCCTCTTCACTTTTGGGGGGAAGAGGCTAAAGGGAAAGGGAGAGGGTGGAAGCCAGGCAATTACATGTTATAGGATTATGTCAAAACACACAACAATTTACCAATTGTAATCCGATAGGATAACTCCGCTTTCTAAACTCTCCTACAAAACTTGCAAAAAGAAAAGGAGGACTTGTGGCACCTTAGAGACTCACAAATTTATTTGAGCCTAAGCTTTACAATGCTGTGAGCTGAAACTCACAAAAGCTTAGGCTCATATAAATTGGTGAGTCTCTAAGGTGCCACAAGTCCTCCTTTTCTTTTTGCGAATACAGACTGACACGGCTGCTCCTCTGAAACCTATAAAACTTGGAGCATAGTCATGCTCTGACGGATACATTTGAATCTCCCCCTCCCCCGCTGTTGCTTCCCTATAACGACCCGTCTCCACGCTCATGGCGGCATACAGAGACAGAAGCAGCAAAACAGGAGTTGAGAAAAGACCACCACTCAGGACTCCCCGCATCTCCGCTGTTAGGACCCAATCCTCTTAAGTGCTGACGGAAGCCAGTGCAAGTGGAGGCTTCTCAGAACTATGCAGGATCAGGCCCTGGAAGCAGCTTAGCTGAGTCCACACCTGAGGTTGCATTACAATCTCTGGCACAGATACCCCTGACTCTTGTCCAGCAAGTCTCCCTGCAGTGCTGAGTTTCAATCCCAGAAAAGAAATGCTTGGGCCTGAATTCTCAATTACATGAAGGTGCAAAGAGGCTTTAAAGTGCACGTAAATGTACCTTATACCCACTTTAAGGCCCTTCAGTTATCGAGCAGTACAATGAAACCTTAGTGTAAATGAGAATCAGACCTTTGTCCACACTTTCCCTTTGCTGTCACTTCTTCAAAGCAACATGCTCCCCCCATCCTTCTGGGGCATAGTGCTGAGGTGAAGACAAACGTATGTTTTCCCACCTTCATATCACAGATCACTTCTTACCCCTTTCTGCGGCAACATTTTCTCCTTGTCGCGCATGTCAAAGAGATAATTAACGTGCCACTGTTTCCAGCAGTACATTGGCCCAGCCAGGAGAGAATGATGTAGACTTTTCCCGTGAACAGAGGGGTTTCTTGGTGGTCAGGTGGATTAGTGTAGCCCAAAAAAAACATCCCAGACAGTCTACAGGGGTCGGTAACTTTCCCCATCTCTCTCCCCCCAAGTTGCTTATATTCCAAACCCAAACTTGGTTTTTGAGTTGTTCTTTGTATTGCAACATTGGCTAATACTTTAATATGTGCTGTAATTTTTTTAATTGTTTTTTTCCCCATGCTTGCTTTATCTCGGAGCGTCTCTAATACATGTCGTCCCTCTTTTCATTCTGGGCCACCTAGGTATCCAATTTAGTGAGGTTATGTGAAAGAACTTCAGCTTTGCCATCCAGGGCCATCAGAGCCTTTGCCAGCCTGTTTGGCTAAGGAGATCTTCAGATATCTGTAATCACGGGCTCCTTAGTTTCAGCATCTGAAATCACATTGATAAGGCCAAAGATGGCAGTGGTTGTACTCTAAAATCCTCTCCTCTTTGGCTTTGGGTTTATTTTTTGGCACTGGTTTTTCTTTGTAGGTGTAAGAGCTCTGGGCTTTAAAGTACATAAATCCTGAAGTCTCACTTTACTTTTTCTTTTCTTCAAGTATTACATGATCACTGAGCATGAGCAGGTCTGGAGCAAGTCCTTCTCTATGGTGGATATTGAGCTCTCGCTCTCTCGCAGTAGTAAACATTTTGGACTTGGTTTGTTTAAAAATAAGTATTTAAAGCATTTTGTTTTCATTCCAGTGATTTATAGTCTAACCAAATTCTGTAAAACTAAGCCAAAATTAGGTGAGAACTAAGCATGGGGAAATTTCAGCAAAAATAGGTTATTTCTGCTAAATTTATAACTGACTGATAGAAACACCATCTATGAAGAACCTCTGTAAAGTCTCAGCCTTAATTACAGTAGCACTAGTACCATGCCAAAACAAATGAGAAATTTAATACTATGGGCCAGATTCTCAGGTGGTGTCAATGAGCCTAGATCCTTCATCAGCTAAGGATCTGGCCCTATGAATTTTAGGGTGCATCTTTCATTATTCTATTAACTATTTATTTTTATGTTCTATACTATTCTGATAGAACAGTATAGGCTTTTGAGATCCTGCCTACATGCTGGTTTGCCAGTAATGCATTACAAAATATCCCCGTGCAGAATCATTGCTATAAACAGTTCTTTCATGCCACCATCTACATTCTTGGAATTGATATTGTGTATTTTTTTTTTCCTTACGGGCATGGCAGAACAGATTAGGATACAGCCAATGAAGTCTTCTTCAGGTGTATAGTTCCAACTGGATCGTTGTGGAAGGCCTGGGGTTATCCAAAACATTGTGATATTTTTCTTAATCTTCTATGTCTTCCAGCTGTGGCCTGAAAAACACACTCACGTACAGGTGACACCAACTGTAAATACTCCACATTTGCCTCTCCAAAATGATTGGGGTACTACTATGGTACCTCCTAGTTCTAGGTAGGTACAGAAAGATACCATGGTTACTGCAGGCATCTCTGACAGTAAAGGTTGAATCTTTAATGGCACCCACTCTACAGTGTTAATATTTACAGATGTGTTAGCCATTGTGTGTAGAGTATCCATAATAACGGATTACCTTCTGTGAATTTGTTTCAGTGGCAATGTCTGTTCTTTTCAGAGCCAAGATAACACAGTAATGGGCACCATATAAAGACCTAGATTAGATAAATTCATTGTATGTTCAGGACCAGCTACATCCAGGTGGACTGAAGCCTGCTGCTGAGGGTTATATTTTTACATGTATTAGAGAATTGTGAGTACACAGGGGCAGGGGAATAGAAGTAAATGCCCCTACATGAGAGAATTGTAAGTTTGAAGGAACAGCTGATTGGGGTGGGGAGTCAAGCATATTTTGATGAAAGTGAAGCAAGGAGGCACAGAAGCAGTGGTTTAGCTATGTAGAGACCTGGGAGAACCTTGGATATTCTGTTTCCTGTGATTATAGAAACCAAAGGCACCCCCTGAGTTCATATGTCTAGGGATGGGTGCCAGACATCCTAACCCGAACACAGTGTGCTGGCCAGAAATGGCGGAACAACAGTGCTGTTCTCTCAGGGCGAGGGGGACATTCCAGCCTCCTGGGTCCAGAGTCTGTGATGAAACAGCAAAAGGAAAGCTGCTGAGCTCAGAACAAAGCACCACCAGTCAGCTGATCTGTGGGGTTTATTCTTAGCACAGGCAGGAAGCAGCCAGCTCCCCAAGCCAAAGGAAGGGGACTCAGTAATTGTCGCCATGCAGGAGAACTGAGGAGTAAAAAGTGCACGTGGCAGGAGGAAGAGGTGAACCCTCGGAGTGAAGAATCAGGTATTAATGCTTGACAGGAAGAGGGGTGAAATAAAAAGAAAGAGCAAAGGGAGATTTAAATCAGAACACCACTGCAAACTTAGCCAAGTACTTTATGTAAGTAACTTTTTACTCAGATTAAACAATATCTTGAGGCCCCTTTTAAATGTATTTAGGTGCCTAAGATCCATTGAAGTCAGTGGGTGCCAGGTACCTACTTTTAAAAAAAATCTGGCCCCTCATTGATGAATGTACTATTCAGGCCCGCAGCCTCCAAAGCAGAGGGTTCTAAGTTAATTCTTCCTCCGTGCAGTGCTTACAGGTTAGAGCGGACGTGGCAGTCAGGACTCCTTTGTGGATTCAGGTTCTAGCTCTGATTTAGGACATTAGCCACAGCCCACTGAAGTCAAATGGAGTCTTTCCATTGATTGCAATGGGCTTTGGATCAGGCCTTTGCTGTGAAACCGTGGGCAAATCAATTAAACTCCCTGTGCCTCAGCTTCTTAATGTGCAGAGTACAGTAATGATTCTCTCATAGGGGGGTTGTTTAAGCTTAATTAATGTGTAAGAGGCACTTTGAGCGGCTTGGGGAAAGGTGCCATGTGTGTGCAAAGTGTCAGTCAGGGTGCAATTATTTCTAGGAATTCAAAGACGCATACAATCAATGGTGCCACTCCTTGTCAAAATACCTGAATATGAGCTGTGGTGCGCAGAACAACTGCTCATCTCTGGCCTCCTGCTCCAACTTTTCAATCACACGGATAGCCATAGGACACATACATTCCTTTGCAAAGAGAAACACGGGTGAGATCCCAAGCCCCAGTTTCCAGAAGTATCTTCCAGAGACTCCAATGAAGGCAGGTTCTTCTCCTTCAGATGATCAGAACTGTTGTAAAGGATTTTTTGGTTGGTTGGTTTGTGGCAGGGTAGTCCACACTTTTAAAGTGACAGCACTAAATTAGCAAAGATTGCAGATTATATCTGGAGATTTCAAAAGATTTCCTTTGAAGCTTCTTACTATCATTATTGGTAACCATAGACTGAGACCAAGCCAGCTGTGCAACAGCTGGAGACACATGGAACGACAGTGGCACAGAAGTTCTTAAAATTATTTGTGGACAGCATACAAATCCCGCCTTGACAAAGGTGTATTTACTTTAAATATAGATCCTTTCTGTGTTTGGAAAACAGGTGTGCAGACCTTCGGGTGGATTGACTCCCTGCCTCAGAAACAAATTTCTGTAGCCTCAAAAGGAAAGAAGTTCACAACAATCATCTGAATCAAATGTCAGTTTGTACTTCTGGGTGTTGGGAGAAGAGGGAATCTTTATGAACTCTCTGACATTCTCTGTTAAATACTTGTGTGCAGTTATGCATAGCTTAGCCAAGTTTGTGGTGACTGGCTCAGCCCAGTACGGAGCCAGCCAAAAAACATGACCTGCCAGGTTTTGCAACATAGATGGCCTCATATATTCAATTTGGTGATGAACAGTAGCCATAAAGTGTTTGTGGAGACTAACACAATAAAGTGTGTATATGTAGTTTGAAAAATAAATCACAATATTTATATATGCAGTTTGCCTAGAAATCAAATATCACAGTCTATGGGCAATAGCCCAGATTCAGTTATCAGGGACACCAGTATTATCAAATAAATCTCAACTGTATTTTAAACAGAGCACAGAGAAACACAGGGCATTTCTTTTTAGAATGTTAAGACAAATACCCTGTTTTTTATATTTATATTTTTATACATATGTACACACACATACACACACATGCTTTATTCTCATTTCAAACATAAGGATGCAGAGTCAAAGCCTCTTCTAACAGTCAAACAGTATATGTAATTAGTATCTAAAGTGAATGCATTCGTCTACACATGCAAACCAAACTGACAACAGTGATACAGAAGGTATTCTGACCATTTTCTCTCTGGGATCATCCCGTCTGTCATTTGAATTATATATGAGCCTTGTGATTTAAACACATTTTAAGCTCATTTACCAGTAGTTACTAGAAAGGAAAGATGGCTCTGAACCAGAATTGCAGATTTGAATGTGGCAAGCTCTAGAAAAGTTCTGCAGAACAGTCTAGACCTGAATTTTCCTGCAGGCTGCTACCTTTAAAATGGATCCAAACACTTCTTGAGAAAGTTTTGGTCTGGCCTAACATTTCACAACTGGCCCCTTATCTCCATAATTGCTTCAACCAGAATCAAGCTCTGCACACCCTTGGGAGGATTGGATCTGTATACTGATCCAAACTTTGCAGCTCAAGGCCAATTTCAACCAAAAATTGCTAGAAAGGGAGTGGGGAAGCGGACAGGGTAGATGAAAAGCAGAAGGCGTAAGATATTTGCAATATTTACATAGAATTTATTGAGGCATTTCAATAGGTCTTGGTGGAGTTTAAAACAGTGAGGATGAAAAAAATAATTTCCAATAGCACAGCAGAAGGAAAGGAAAGGAAACTTGAGGGTAACAGGCAACAGAATAACATCTGACAGATACCTGCATGCTGCAGAGACTAAACTGATTCCGAGAGCTGATTGTAACTGAACAGTAATGACACAGGGCCTACTTCTGTTGAAGCCAATGGGAGTTTTGCCACTTACTTTAATGGGAGGAGGATTGGGCCGTGGGGATCAGAGTTGGTAGCCCAAGTGCCAGAGATTTTGAAATGGCCCCTTGGAAGGATTCCCAGTTGGTGTAAATCAGCTTGGCTCCATTGGCTTCAAAGGAGCTATGCCAGCTTACATTAGCTGTGGATCCAACCTCCTGTTTACTTACCGAATGGGATCATCATTAGGCATAACCATCAAGGGAAACAGCACTGGAATGAAAGGAACGTGTCCCAGAATGCGGCTGTCTCCAGTCATCTATAGTAGCAGTGTGTCCTTATCACAGTATAATGTTACACTTATAATGTAACATACTGTAGCAATAGGATTTCCTTGCAGAAATACCACCTAGATATTATATAATGCTTTTTATCCATAGCACAAATATTTGACCCAAAAAGACACCAACTTTGGGGGCAATTGTTCACATTTGCCAGGTGCAGATATCAATTTCACCACTCAGCGACTGGATGTAAAGTGACAGCTGTGCTCTCAGGCTGTGTCTGCACTAGGAGCTCGGGGTGCAAGTCCCCTGCTCGTGTACACGTTGGTGCTCGCTCTCATGGAGCCAGCATGAGTAGAAACAGCTGTGATGCCGGGGTAGCCCTGGCTGTGCCAAGTACAGACCTGCTGGAAACCAGTGGGTCTGCACTCAGCACAGCTCAGCTGGGCCGCTGCTGCACGGGGATTAGGCCCTGTAGGTTGTGGTGCTCAAGGAAAAGCGTGGGTGGTGTGCGTGTGTGTCTCCAGTCCAGAGGGGATGATTTTGCAACCTTTGCTTATGCTGAACAGTTCTTACTGATGTGGAGTCATACATACTCCGTTACAATGGGACTACTCACATGAATAAATACTAAGCAGTGTGAATAAGGGTTGTTGAGTTGGGCCAAAAACGTCTCCATTTATCGTGGGACTCTCTCTTTTACATAATACAGCACCCTGTTTCTCCTGACACAGATTTTAAGACAGAAGGGTCCATCAGATCTCCTGGTCTGACCCTCCGGTGTACACAGTCAATAGAATTTCATCATGTCTAAAAGCACTCTTCCAGTAAGGCATCCAGTCTCGATTTGAACCCTTTAGGAGCTGGAGATCCACGATAGCCTTAGATAGTTTCTTCCTATGGTCAGTCACCCACTCTGTTAAAAAATTGTGCCCTACATGTACCACATGGGTTTCCTCCCTATGCTGCCCCTTTGTTTTTCTTTCAGATATTTTCACCAACAGCAGCTCAGCCCTATGCAGAACAAAATATTGGATCTTAAAATCTTAAACCTGTTCCCCCTCCCTGGCCTCTGTCACATATTTTCCAGCACTTGAATGCTATAAATAGGGGCAGATAGAAAAGTAGGAAGGTGTGCATTTTTATTACTTTAAATTAATTGAACTAAAAGCTTTCAGGCAAAGTGGAAGACTGATCATTATTTTGCTTTAAAAACAGGGACTTGCTCCTCCTCAACAAGAACAGTTGATCTGTAAGGCAGTTAGCTATTTGAATACCATCTTGGAAGTGGCCAAGGAGCTGCTGAAATACTAATTCCTTTTGACGAAGCCATCTAAGATCACTCGAGTTACCACTGGAACTTCCCAAATGCTGCACTTCATCCCTGGCATATATTATACATATGAAGACACAGCGAAGTGGGCCGGATGTCTACATAATATTGCCATTTAAGGGCTCACAATTGGCATATGCAAGCGGGTTCAGACAAGGCAATTATCAACATGCACACTTGGCCAAATTCTCTGTCATACCAGAGCTATCCCATTGAAATCCATGAGGGCTGCATGGGTGTAATCCTTATGGAAAAAATCCTGTGGAATTTAATAGGGATGAGACTGAATAAAAATCACTCTGAAGGTCTATAGACTATCATAGAAAATGATCTCTTTCTATGGTCCTAATCCTTCATCCAGAGCTGCTAGTGCACTCTTCTGCACCTGAATGGAGTACCACTGAAGTCAATGGGATTGTGCGTGAATGCTCAGCTGATCCAATGCTACACTGGGCCTATAAAACTGAGGGATTTGTGTTTCTTTTTTAACTATCAGATAGATCAACAGAACGGATATAGTTCAAGGATGGTACAAGAATCCCTATAAAAAGGGGGGTCATTTCCCTTTAAATTCTAGAACTCTATTCCAGAAGGGTAACTTAGAGCAGAGTGAAAAGGAGGACTTGTGGCACCTTAGAGACTAACCAATTTATTTGAGCATGAGCTTTCATGAGCTACAGCTCACTTCATCGGATGCATGCAGTAGGAAATACAGTGGGGAGATTTATATACACAGAGAACATGAAACAATGGGTGTTACCATACACACTGTAACAAGAGTGATCAGGTAAGGTGAGCTATTGCCATGCATCCGATGAAGTGAGCTGTAGCTCACGAAAGCTTATGTTCAAATAAATTGGTTAGTCTCTAAGGTGCCACAAGGCCTCCTTTTCTTTTTTGCGGATACAGACTAACACGGCTGCTACTCTGAAACCTGTCATTAGAGCAGAATATGGCCCATTGTCTTTCCAGAGGAAATTGCTGTGGCACAAATAGATGATCGTGAAATGCGTGTTTGCTGCTAAATGAGATAGGCACTAACACTGAGCCATCAATTTTTATGCCAAACTCCTCATTGAAATCAATGGTGAAAAGAGCTTTAAAATCAACCAGCATCTCTCTTTGGTTGTTGAGACTTTCTGCTTTGCTTGTTGCGTAGCAATGCAACAGACATCTTAAATGTGCAAAGTTGAACGTCAGACTTCTATTCCGCATCATTTAAGAGCTTCTCTTGCTATAGGGACTTCACCCGTTCCTGGTTCAGGGAAAAAACAGACAAAATGGTTTTCCTAAATACTTTAGCTGAGATCATCAGCTGATGTACTTTGGCATTGCTCCATTGAAGTCTAAGTTGGTTTGCATTTCACTTTAATAAAGAGATAAGAATAAGCATGAATTCATCTTTGATCACATCAAAGGAAAGAATATATACAAAGTTTAATAAAATTATACTTGCGTGGGATTTGAGCTCACTCTCTTTTACAATACGGATCTGGTATTTGGGGCCAAACTTTCCAGCAGCAGCTTAAGTCCATGCTCAGACAATGAAAAATGTGCACAAGTCTGCATATGTATATTCCTTTTTATGAACATAGATGTGGTAATTATGTGCACTCAAGCTGCATGTGAACAATTAGAGACTGGGTTACGGTGTGTGTATTTTCTCACACCGGCTATTCTCTCTATATATTACCACCTTCTAGGGTGAGGGATTGATGATCTAAAACTAGCAATAGCCACACGATGTTTTTCCCAATGATAATTTTCAACAGAGGAGGGCTCCCATACGGTTCCATTTTTGAGAATTAATTTAACCACCCCA